CATGAGCCCTTGATAGTTTATAAATGGGTATTTTGTCATATCTTGCCCTGTCCTAAGTGGCTTTTTTATGTGACAACTTAATGATGTAATTTTGAAAAGTAAATGCAATGAGAATTTATTTTTTCTTCATAGACCCTGATAGTTGCTCAACTCCTTTAAGGGAGGAGAGTGGATGTTCTCAGACCTCCACACCTGCCACCACTCTGCAACTCTTACAGCTCTCTGGTCAGAGGTCCCTTATTCAGGAGAGCCTATCCACGTAAGTAATCCTAAGCTTGGGCAAAGAAGGTACTATATGCCTAATGGGCATAACATTACCTGCTAGTCTAGAAATGTTAAGGTCTCTAGGCTTCAGAATTTCTGGAAGCTGTTGGAGGCAGACAATTCTGCTTTCACATTTGGAAACTTTAGAATAGTAGTCCAAAGTTGGATTAGTGTGGAAATGCCCATTTAGAGAACATCGTGCATTCAAAACAAGCATTCTGCTCTCTATTTTATTAGCAGGTCTCCCCCTTTAACAGCACGAGATAACAGTATAGATCAACAGTTCTCAACCTGTTGGTCTCGACCCCTTTGGGGGTCGAACGACCCTTTCACAGGGCTCGCCCAATTCATAACAGTAGCAAAATTACAGTTATGAGGTAGCAATGAAAATAATTTTATGGTTGGGGGCTCACCACAACATGAGGAACCGTACTAAAGGGTCACGGCATTAGGAAGGTTGAGAATCAGTGATATAGATTATTGTAGTTGACTTTATCTCTCTGTAGAGAAAGATTTCTTTTTTCTTCATATATAAACATATAGTCTTCCTATTAGCAGAAAGTAGAATAAGTGATATTTTTTATATGTCATATTTATAAATGAATTTACTTGTTAGCACTTGCACATCCTGCATTTTAATCATGCTATCTTGATGTTTGGTCATTCGCTGTCTCATGTAATTATATTACTTGAGTATCTTTACTCCTTTTTCTTTTGAATACTTTGAAAATGTCTGATCTGGGAAATGGATTTTCTATTTGCAGGTAGCTGTTTAGTAGAAATGCTAAATCTGTCTGAATAACTTAGCTGTTTTTTGCTATTGCAAAGTAAAAATAACAAAGAACTGTGACTTTATTAAAATAACCTGTAATTTTCTCTTTATATAAAGGAATTCCTCAGATCTTGTTGCTCCTTCCCCTGACGCTTTTCGATCTACCCCATTTATCGTCCCTAGCAGTCCCACAGAGCAAGGCGAGAGAAAAGGTGAGCTCTCTCCATCTCTCTCTGTTGACTTCAGAGGAGCAGCACTCGGCCTTGAGAATTGCAGTTTCATTGTGCGTGAGAACTCTGATCTGCACTGTTCAGTGGGACTTGACGTCTGCTTACCCAGGGTTTCTCAAAGTGTGTGATACTGCCTGTTGGGTGTGCTGGACCCAGCTAGGCATGCTGTAAAAGCAGATATCTACACTTTATTTATCCCGCACTGGGATACAGTACAAGTTTTGCCCAGGGGTGGAAGCGGGGAGTTGGTAATGCTGAGTAGATTTTTTTCTGAAAAGGGTGTGCTGGACCCAGCTAGGCATGCTGTAAAAGCAGATATCTACACTTTATTTATCCCGCACTGGGATACAGTAGAAGTTTTGCCCAGGGGTGGAAGCGGGGAGTTGGTAATGCTGAGTAGATTTTTTTCTGAAAAGGGGGCAGTAGGCCAAATAAGTTCGAGAACTTATGGTTCAACCTTTAGGAATATGACCCTTGTGTAAAGTGTTTTCCTCGGTGGTTCCTCTTGAAATTTTATATTGTTGAATCAATTTTTTTTTTTTAATCAATTTTTTAGAACGGGAAAATTCTTAAATTTTTAAAGTCAGACTCAAATGAGCTGTAATATGGTGGAGAATTGAGTTTAGTGATAAAGTTTAAGTAGTTTCTAGCTTCATGTGAGCTTAACTGGTGAAATAGAACCCAAATAGTTAGTTTTCAGTGTGTGTAGCTTATTTCTCTATTATGAAAATCGTTTTGGCCACAGAGTGGTTATAATCTGGGAGTAGAACTGTTGACTTCATTCCCTTACTTTGAGGACTTGGTGATTGTGGCTTAGTTTATTCATAAGAAACCTTTTATTTTTGCTTACTTAATTTATCTCATTATTTAAGCCTTTATGCACTGTCTTCATCTCCTATCCAAGTCATTCAAAAATATTTCTGATTCTTTGTACAAAGCCTTTTTTTGTCTACAGAGCCTTTTCTAATAAATTCCATGATTTTCTCCCTTTCGTTCTTCCACATGCCAGAAATGGTATAATACCCAGTACTCACTGAGCACTTCTTATATGCCAGCACCTATTTTGGATGCTTTGCTTTAATTCTTCCAATTGACTCCTCACAGCAATCCCAAGGACTAGGCATTATTTTTGGTTCTTATTTTAAACATTGGGAAACTGAAGCACAGAGAAATTTCTCAGCTAGATGTCATGGAGGTCTGGGCACTTAGGTTGTTTTTTGTTTTTTTTTTAATCGTTCTATTATACAACTCTTACCACAATCCATACGCACTTAGTTTTTGTCAAGTGTAATTTATCTATGACAAAATTGAATCTTAGACTGCCTTTTCACAAAGTTCGTGATTGGCTGTTTTTACCTTGAAGTCAGATGTATGTATTGAAATGAACTAAGATCAGTGTGAGCATAATAAGATCAGTGATGTCGGCAGTGAACCAATAAAGGTGAAGAGGTTCTGTAAAAATCTTCCTAATGCAAGGTAAGTTTAAGGTGACCAGAGTTTGACATTGGTAAAGCGGGACAAAAGTGGGACACCATTGATAAAACTCATATCCTGGCGGAATAGCCACATGGCTGCTGAAAACCGTATACCCTAGCTTGTCTTGCATTCTTTCCAAAAATCGGGACTTTTAAAAAATGCCACAGGACGTGGGGAAAATAGTTAAAAATTGGGACTGTCCCGCCAAAAACTTAGTTAAGTTGGGTCTATTTACCATGGCTTCTGCCTGCGGTGTGAACATTGAATATAAACATAATTGTATAAAAAAATCCTTTATTCCTGATTGTAAACCCAATTCTCATTATAGAAAGTTTGGAAAGTATAGGAAACCAAAATCATCTGTGATAGCCCAGTTCAAATGTGATGATAATTAGTATGTGGACACTGTTACAGAGAGAGCTGCTGTGACTTGGCACCTAATGACAACATTTGGATGTGTTTTCTTTCAGCATCTTTCTTATTCATAAATTAAAAAAAATTTTTTTTTACAAAATTGTGTTGTGTATATGATGATGGTTTGCTTTTTTCTTGAACATTGTAAAATTAGATTTTAAAATTCAATGTATTTTCTTAGTGTATGCATAACTGTAGGACTCTTTGTATCTGATTGTGCTATTGTTGTTTTTCTTAGATTAGTAACCAGAAACCTTTATATCTATAATACTTAGAGCAATAGGGCCATATAAAGTGATTGTCATGGTAAGAAAAGTCAAAAGTTGCAATGAAAATACTTAGCTCTACTGTGGTAATTTCATAAAGGCCTGCAGCACCTGATCCATAATTTAGGATTAGAATAGAATGGGAGGCTGGAGGGCCAAACTAAGAACCAAGGGTGGACACTGAAAAGGTATGGGTGTGGGGGGCAGGTGCCCCCCTCCCCCATCCACTATATTTGTCCTGGCATCCATCTCACTGTTTTTTAAGGTTTAAGGAAGAATTATACAATGGTTAAATTAGATGTCATTAATCTCGGTATTCCTAAGCAAATGTAAAATTGAGTGTTAATTAGGAAAGAGATGCAGAACAGTCAGATAATGTAACATCATATGGATGAGTGAGATGTAGTCCCAGATTCATCCCATCTAAATATTTTGGGAATGTGGAGCCCCTACCCCACCTTCACACTCAAGTAAGTGCTTCTAGAACTCAGTATAATTCTATCGATTTTTCTGAGAATGAAGTCACTTTTATAGAAGCATACATTTCTGTACTGTAATTGTTAAAAGTGGTGTTAGAAGATGAGTAATGCTGATGAGTGATTGTTTTCCTTTTTCTTTTAAACCAGATAAGCCAGTGGACGTGTCCATGTTATCTGAGGAAGGAGGAGGAGCAGCTTTCCCGAAGAAGCTTGAGGATGAACAAATGGAGATAGAAACCCCACCTGAGCCCACTGTGTCACCACAAGCCTCAACCCCAGTCTCTCAGAGCACACCAGTCTTCACTCCTGGGTCACTTCCTGTCCCGTCCCAGCCCGAGTTTTCTCATGTAGGTATATACAAAGAGGGTTTTTCTTTCTTTTCTTTTTTTAAATCATTTTATTGGGGGCTATTACAATTCTAATCACAACCCATACATCCATCCATTGTGTCAAGCACGCTTGTACATTTGTTGCCATCATCATTCTCAAAACATTTGCTTTCTACTTGAGTCCTT